GCACAACCTCTGAGTTCCCACTTTTAGGGTATGTCTACACAGCATGCTTATTTCAAAAGAAGCTATTCTGGAATAGTTATTCCAAAATAGCTTATTTTGAAGTAGCACATCTACACTGCAGGGAAGCCTCAAAATTAGTCCAAGGCAGGCTTTCCTAATGTAGATGTGTTATTTCAATTGAGGCGCTGGGGAGGAATAACTTAGAATGGCCCTAGTGAGGGGCTATTTCGAAATAGCAGCAGTGGAGTGTCTACACACGCCTTATTTGGAAATAACTATTTCGGAATAGGCGTTATTCCTCGTACAGCGAGGTTTATAGATTTGGGAATAACTTGTCTGTTATTTCAAAATAATTTTGAAATGGAATGGCTGTGTAGACACTCACATTGTTATCTCAAAATAACGGTGCAGTGTAGATGCGTCCTCAGAGACTGGGACCTGATTTGTAAGGTGCTGAGTACCCACAACTCCAACTGCAGTGAATGGGAACTGGAATTACTTAGCACATCTGAAAATGAGGCCTAGGTAGTCAGAAACGGGAGCACCTACAATTAGCAGCCTATATGATAATTTGGACCTTTGTCTTCCCAATCCCTGAAGTTCCTAAGGCACTTCACAGCTTACAGTGTGGGTAGTAGCACTATCTAACTACTTCACATTCCTTTACTGTTCCTTAGCTGCACAATTCATGTTTTGTGAAAATGTGTTATATATTCTTGGCATATTCATATCGTTGGCATATTCAGAGCATCATAATTTGGTCATATCAAAACCATATTTGCCTGGTACATTCAGAGGTATTCCTATATCATGTTTCGATCTCCATCCATTTCAATCAGCTCTCATGACTCTTATCACAAGTCTGAAAACAACTGGTGATTTTGTTAAATCCACAACACTTGGAGTCATGTGATTATTTGAGAATCTTAGCTTTTATTTTTAAAAAATAAGCTTCTAAAGTTTTCAGACTGTCAAGGTTATGGAGAAATGCTTGAAAAACATAAATCCTAAAGTCCTTACCAGAACAATTATAGTAACATACAACTTATTAAACAAAATCTCCTGATTTCTTTAATCAAATCTGATTGGGACAGGGCTGATTTATGCTTTATTAAATGTTAATTATTTGTCAATAGGGAATTTTGGCTGTGAAACTGTGGCCTTTTCTACACTGCTATGTTTTGGTGCCAAAAACCGCAATGCAACTTTTGTCAGGGAAAAACATCCAGTTCTGGTGAAAAAAACCTTCCAACTTTGAGAGAGACTTTTGTCTTTTCCCCTCTCTTTATTGTTGACAAAGAGCCAGTGTGGACTCTGTTGTTTGTTTTGTGGCGAGAACTAGCTTTAGCCAGTGTCCCACAAAGCCTGCCCTAATGACTGTGCTCAGTGTTTTGTGATCTTTGCTACCCTGCATGAATGTGCTCCTCCCCCTTTAAAACTCTGGGAAGTACCTGACAGCTGAGTGAGCAGCTCCATTTGAGAAAGAACAAATCATTGGAATGCTCCCATTCTGCCCTGTTAGAAACATAGCAGCAGGTAGATTGCTGTTGCAAGGGGAAGGCTGGAGACACTGCTGTCCTGCTTTGACATACCTCAGCATGGAGAGCTCACAGAGCTTCTCCTGATGCTGCTCCTGGCAGCTTAGGATGCTGGGGAGAACTCAGAGGGAATCCCCAAGAAGTGCAGGATTAGCTCTGCCTTCTCACAACATTGCATTGTGGGATACTTACCCACATTGCTTTGCTCTATCAGGGGAGCTAGCAGAGTCACCATGAAATGTCGACAATAGGAGGCAGAAAAACCAGTTTGGGTGGTTTTCACTTTTGCATGTTGACAACACTTTTGTTGTCAAACCTTCTCAGTGTAGACTTACTCTGTGTAACATGTTAGTAGTACCTGCCTTGCCTGAAATACACCAGTCAGAAGAGGTATGCAAATAGTGCTCGCATTTGCATACCTGCTTCCATTTTTTTTCCTGGAAGAGGCTTTTCTGCCATTTGGCCCTGTGAACACAGGGCCAAATGTCGGAAAAAAAACCCTCTTTTGAAAGTCCTTGTAAACCATATTTTATGAGGAAGAAGGGGGCTTTCAAAAGAGGAGGGTTTTCCGACACTTGGCCCTGTGTAGATGGGGCCAAATGGTGAAAATGCCTCTTCTGGTGAAAAAAAATGGAAGAAGGTATGCAAATATGAGCGCTATTTGCATACCTCTTCTGAAACACACTCCCCCCTCCCCCACCCACAGTGTAGCCGTACCCTCAGTCACGGCAAGAAATTGGGAGTTTGTGCTTGCCTGATTATCCACCACAACCCCCAAATCTTTTTCTTAGTTCGAGCTAGGTAGGCAAATGAGGGCAACCAGAGTTGCAAATGAAGCCCGGGATTTAAATATCCCGGGCTTCATTTGCATGTTCCCAGGCACCACCATTTTAAAATCCCCTTAGTCCAAACTCCGTGCCTGCGGCTACATGCAACACGGAGTAGGTAGTTCGAATTAGAGCTCCTAATTCGAATTACCGTTACTCCTCATGGAACTACACGCGGGCACGGAGTTCGGACTACGGGGGATTTAAAAATGGCGGCGCCTGGGAACATGCAAATGAAGCCCGGGATATTTAAATCCCGGGCTTCATTTGCAACTCTGGTTGCCCTCATTTGCCTACCTAGCTCGAACTAACGAGCTAGTGTAGACATACCCTAACTCATTAACTCTTTTAGACGTACTAGGAGGAGAGAAAGTGGTTCTTTAAAGGGAGAGAAGCTCTAGGGTATGGACTAAACAGTTCCATGGGAAGACTTTAAGTACAGCTTAACTTTGGCAGAAAACTATTTTTGTTTTTTATAATAAAGCCAAACCCTAGGGACGTGATGTGTTTGGAAAGTAACTACTGTTGTACTGTGTTTAAGAGGAGGCTGAGAAAGCTGTAATCTGTTAAAAAAAATTAGAAAGATTTTTTTATAATGGGGAAAACTGTTTTGCTCTTTCTCAAAATTGAACCATTTTTTTGCTCATACTTCTGGAAGAAAGCAACCTTGGCAAGAGACAAAATTTTACTATAATAATAATAGTAATAATAATAATCAGCTTGAACGATAACTGTTTTTAAAAGTTATAATGAAATTAAAATGTGACATTAGACAGTATGCATTTTTATAAACCCTAACTAGCAGAAGCCAATGATATTTGTGCTCTTTACTAATTCTGTAATATAATGGGGTTAGAATGAGACCAGTGTCCTCTGTTAGCTGTGCATTTGTGTGGCTGCTCAGGAGAGATTCAAATGTTGCCCAGCTGATTAGCAGTGCACCCACAGCTAGGTTTGTGTTCACACAAGCCTCGGTGCACATAAAATTTATTCTGCACATGGGTGAAAAAAATCTACACATGGGTGGAAAAGATTAGAGGGAACATTGGATGAAAGGACACCGATGCTGTTTCTGTTGAGCCCTCCTTATTTTGGGGGGACAAGTGCAAAGAAATAATATTTACTCCAGATAGTGAACTATGAAATCTTCTTAGGACTGTTTAATTGTGGGGGGGGGGGGGGGGGGAGGTGTCAGTGAGGAGACAGGTAAGATACAATGATGTTAATATTTTCAATTTGAAGATTCTTATTGTTCTCTATTATGACTGGGCTAGATGTTGTTCAAAAGGCCACATTGCAACCTGCTGTTCATGCCTGTGCAGGGGTTGGTAACATATGTTGGGAATAGGAGAGTGGGAGGGAGAGCAGCCTGTGTAGGACTGCTTCTTATCTTCTGGTATAGATGGACAAAGAATGTAGGGAGGCTTGTTTCCATTTTCCACAACGTGCCAACCAGCATGACTGAGCTAGCATAGAGGAGGAAGGAATCTGTGCCAGTTATAGGGCTGGAGGGGCACATCTACACAGCAAGTCTTTCTTTCTAAATAATGTCAAGCTGGAGGACTTCTTATTCTGACTCAGGGTAGCCCTCATCTCATAAGGAGTAAGGGTATGTCTACACTAGCCCCCTAGTTTGAACTAGGGAGGCTAATGAGGGCGACCGAAATTGCTAATGAAGCACGGGATTTAAATATCCTGCGCTTGATTAGCATATTCCTGGCCGGTCGCCATTTTGGAAACTGACTAGCCCGAAGTAACTGCCTGCGTCTACTCGCAGCAGAGAGGCGGGATTCCGAGATAAACCCCTTAGTTCAAATTAACTGTTAAACCTCATTCCACGAGGAGTAACAGTTAATTCGAACTAAGGGATTTATCTCGGAATCCCGTCTGTCTGCTGCGTGTAGACGCGGGCAGTTACTTCGGGCTAGTCAGTTTCCAAAATGGTGACCAGCCGGGAATATGCTAATCAAGCGCAGGATATTTAAATCCCGTGCTTCATTAGCAATTTCGGTCGCCCTCATTAGCCTCCCTAGTTCGAACTAGGTGGCTAGTGTAGACATACCCTAAGGGAAATCAGAGGAAGAGTGTTCTTCCTTTCACTTCCTGCTGTGTAGACCACGGGTGGCCAACCCATTAAAAGAAGAGAGTCGAAATAGCGGTGGAAAAAATGCAAAGAGCCGCACCAGAATTGTTGAGCAAAAAAAGAAAAAAACTGCAGGTTAGGCTTTTTGGCCACAACAGGCGCCCGTCGGCCACCGCCATTTTGCCATGCCGGATGGCTCCCCTGCACCCGGTGAGCATAGGGAGCCAGGGACCATTTGTAGGGGTGCACGGGGCTTCTTCGTGAGCCATGAAAGGGGGGAGGTTTCGTGAGCCGCACTTTCAGGGGTGAAGAGCCACATGTGGCTCGCGAGCCGTGGGTTGGCCACCCCGGTGTAGACAGTGCCAAAAGGTGATTTAAGCTATTTCGATTTCAGCTACGCAATCGACTTGGCCGAAGTTACACAGCTTAATTCAACTTTTGCCCTGCTGTGTAGACGTGCCCAAACAGACTACAGCTCTGTCCCATCTCAGAGCAAAGTTGAGAACCCAGAGAGCTGGTTCCTGGTTTTCTCTTGGGAACTATGCAGCTTACCTTACTTGGGACTGATGCCACTACCACAGTTGAACTCATGGTTAGACACAGCCTCTACCCCAAAAACTGAGAGAGGGAGGAAAAGTAATGGATGAAGACTGGAGAAAAATGAAACATGCAATCACTATTTAAATAAATACATGATAACCATTCCCAACCGGCCCCCTCCTAAATCACTGTTAGTTGGTTAGATACTGCAGCATTTCTAGTAGAGTCTGCTAAGCAGGGAGGATTTAGAACCCCTTGCGTCCTGTTACCGTACGTCTAGACTACATGCTTCTTTCGAAAGAAGCTTTTTCGAAAATCTTTTGAAAAAGTTTCTTTTGAAAGAGATCATTTAGACAACCGCAACTTTTTTGAAAAAGCAATCCTGCCCTTTTTAAAAGAGAGCACCCAGGCAATCTGGATGCTCTCTTTCGAAAAAGCCCTGTTTGCGGTCAAGAACATCTTTTTTCAAAAGAGTTCTTTTGAAAAAAGGCATTCTTCCTCGTAAAATGAGGTTTACTGTTGTCGAAAAAACTGCTGTGTTCTTTCGATTTAATTTTGATGCACGTGAAGTTTTTTTTTAAAAAGTCACTTTTTTTCGAAAAAACCACTGTAGTTTAGACATACCCTTAGTTTCAACAAGGTATTCCATGCCAAAAGAGTAGTGTGGAAGAAAACATGAAGACAATTATTGGAGGAGCAGAGGTGTGGGTTAGAGGGAACAAAGCTTGCAAAAGTGGGGGAGCAGAGGGAACTGTGGGAACCAAAAAGCAAATTTATACTATCTCAATTCCTACATTGTTTTCCTTCCAAAGTACACAGGGCTAAGGATGGTAAGTATCGGGTAATTGACTAATTGATTAGTCAATGCATTTTGAATTGACTATTCGATTAGTCGATAGGGCGCCTCCACCTTTGAAGTGAAAGTGCTTCACAGAGCCTGTGAAGGTGAAAGTGCTTCACAGAGCCTGGGGTAACTGGAGGAGTTACCCCAGCTGATCCCGGACTCCACATGGTGAAAGTGCTTCACAGAGCCTGGGGTAACTGGAGGAGTTACCCCAGCTGATCCCGGACTCCACATGGTGAAAGTGCTTCACAGAGCCTGGGGTAACTGGAGGAGTTACCCCAGCTGATCCCGGACTCCACATGGTGAAAGTGCTTCACAGAGCCTGGGGTAACTGGAGGAGTTACCCCAGCTGATCCCGGACTCCACATGGTGAAAGTGCTTCACAGAGCGGGGGGGAGGGAAGCAACTAGTTGAATATCCTGTCGACTATCTGATAAGTATCTGCTTATCAGATAGTCGACTAGTCCTTCACATCCCTACACAGGCCGGTAGGCCAAAATCTGCCATCGGTTGTACATATATGTAACTGAGGGAAGAATTCGGTACAATGATTTTGTGTATGAAGACTTATTAAAAATGTACACTTACGTAGTTTTATTTGGAAACTGGAATTTTATGGAGAGGCTGATTTTTGTGAATACTTGCCTGCAATTGGTATGGTGGCTCCTCCCAATCATATGGGGGTAGATTTGACCAATCAGGGATCAAGAGTAATTACTGCACAATCTATACTCTGTGTCTAATGATTTGCATCCATCTAGTAAAGCAAAATGTTCCAGGGAAGGATTACAGGCTCAGATAAGTATAAATAATACCAAGCTAGCTTGAGATTTGTGTTTGTGTTTTCCTTAATTTAGACTGCAGTGATGAACATTTCATCTGTCTCTAAAACAGCCCTGAGATGTTGTTGTATATGCATACACATAATAGAACTATACAAATTAGACATGGAAAATGACTTTGTCCAGTCCATTTCCCTGCAAATGCAGGATTGGCTTTTGCAATAGGCTGCATTATCCTGGATGCTTCTTATCTGTAGATTCCTTAGTTGTGCAAGAACGTCAGTACCATTCCAAGTGCCTGATTAGGCATTTCCACCTGTGCCAAATTCTGATGTGGCAGCATTTTTACAACTGCTTTTCACAGATGTAAATGATGGCCCACTGCACAAGGTGATAGAGATTCTGGCTTTGACTCTAGATGCTCTGAGGATAACGTGTTGTTTTCAAGGAGGTGTAACTGAATTAGTAATTTTGAAAAAGACCTTTTGATTCAGATATAAAGCTGCATATAGCAACAACATTAGTCACCCTTCTGCAAAAATTGTTAAACTAAC